TAAAATAAATATTTCGATAACATTTTTTACATTAGACATAAAAGAATTTCATTATTTAAATGGTCTTAAATTATTACATCACATAGCGTCAAGATACGCATAAAGAACTAATCTGCTGGACTTAATTCTGGAAGGTCGACTTCAGGTCTAGTATGTATTTACGAAGATCCAATATCATGGACAGTTCAACTGCAGTCGTTGGTTATCTCTAGCACCGATATAATAGCCGCGAATGAAGCTGCAAGAGAAATATTCTATAAAGTAAGCGGTAATCATTATCTATATATAATACTTGAACAACACACTATCATGTGACGCCCGCGGAACTAATCATGCGTTGCCATTCCAGATACCTTTTATCTTATAATTTTACGCCTAATGTGCACCTAAATCCCTACAACGGAATACACCAGGTATTAACTAGTAAATAATAATTACTAATCTATAAACAAATAATTTACGACACAATAAAAACGCTACGTATTGCTGATGCAGTGGATTACTTATCTGAATACAGTAAAAGAGGATTATACAGTGATGTATTATTTATCCGAAGCGAGATGAAATATATCGCAAATCCAAAACACGAAAGGGGAAGGCCAATGTCAACGACCCAGACCCACACCCTATGTGCACAACAATGGGACCGTTGGAAAAAAAAGGGGCTCACCCATTATGATTCCAAATTATGACTCCAATGGCCCGATGAGTTCTGCTGATGCCATATTAAGAGCACGCGGCACGCGCTAACGATCCCGTTCGACCTGTTCTCATTTCGTGATACTAACTATCGAGTTCAAAATAATGGTCGTTATTACGTAGATCATGTTATACTTTGGGATAATTTTTCTAAAGAGAATACAAATATATAATCAGATACAAGAGATTTTTATACTGAACCAACTCACACCAAACTTTTTCCATCATTAGTAAAAAGTTTGGTGTGAGTTGGCTCATCGTGGTCAATTCACCTAGAATTTACCGTGAGGGTTTCAGTGTAAGTCGATAAAGAAGATTAAATAGTTTAAGAAAAAACAACTATAAATGTTAACAAATAAAGCATTACGTGTTCTGGAGTGAATATAATGAATATAAGTGAATTGGCAAATGTAGTGTAGGACGCAGTAGTCTTATATTATTGGCTGATTTAATCTCCACGAGTATTCGATAAAAGTGAAATAGATTGTAAAAATGTTGTCATTTCAGTTCGTAAGGATTAAGAATACAGTTACTGTTATTAAATAAGGGCAGTTATTGGGAGAATAAATGACTAGGTAGGGAGTAGTCCAGATTCCATATATAGAATGCATCTTTATTATGAAAGATTATCATTTTAAACTATATTGAATACGTGGTTGCTTATATACACTACAATTTATATCAACCAAATCAACCAAATACCGTTACGGCCGTGCTCTTGAAATTTTATATAGCCTTCTGTTACGAAACGTGCACGCAAGCAATGCTATAATATTACAAGAACCTCCGCACGAAATCTACTTTTTACGAGATTCGCATTCTCGTTTAATTTTCTAATCTTATTATCTGGCATCTAATCAAGTTTATGTATCACCAGTTATTTATTTATTTGATTTATATAACTTTGATACAAACAGTAGAAAAAGTAACAGTACATTTGGCTGACTTAACACCATGCGGTATTTTCTACCAATCAACCATAGGTAGTGTAGAGAATAATTGTTGGCGGTGCAAATATAATCATAAAAGAATGTAATGTAAATGTAAGATATAAATGAAAAAAATAAAAAGATTACAAAGTTAGATAATAGTCCCACAGTTTACGTTTAAAAGAACATTTCAACGTGGCGGTCTTGATATCAAGGGGTAAGTCATTCCAAAGTTTGATAGCCTGAACGGCGAAGGAATAGTGGACGAAACCAGATAGATGAGCTGGGATATGACGTAAGAATTTTCTAGTTGTACGAATATACGAGTTGTCCCCATGGAAATTAAATTTACTCCTAATATAATCAGAATTAGTACCGTATAGTACATTTCTACGATAACGGATAGGTAACCATTTAAGCTGAGCGAAAAGAAGTTATCTATTTTATTAAGGGCAAATTATCCGAAAGATTATTTTTAAAAATTCAACGTTTTATTAATCCCAATGACAGACAAAGATTGGATGCATCCTCTAAAAAATTACCTAACGAGGTACAAAGTTTTGAAAGTGTGTGTCAGTAATTCTAATTATATTTTAATAAATTTGATTCGATTCCGGTTTACCGTGGGAAGTGGGTTAACTACAAATCTTGTACATTGAGAAACTTGTCACGTATATTTTATTACGATTTCAAAGAGATAATGTATTGAGTACATGACAAAATGAGACATTCAGCTATAATATTTCATTGAATAATTATTCCAATATGCTCAGATTTAAATTTATTTGAAATAATTTCTACTATAATATATTGTATTATTGTAATAGTTGGGCAGTATTGGCTTTTGTATATGTAATTACAATAGCAAACAAGCTTACGACCCACCTGATGGTAAATGGCAACTTTAGTAGAAAATATTAAGACCGTCTATCTATACGTTCTTGTCAATTTCTGAAACGGCTGGTTGGATTGTGACGGGACTTTCACTCGCAGATAGCTAATGTAACAAGGGGGTAATTTAGGGTACTTTTATTTTAGATATTTTTGTTAAATATATTTCATCTTTAATTAATGATAATAGAATGGTGCTCCCGTCTGTGCTAACGGGGCACCAGTGGAGAATGAAAATACGAGCATGAGGTTAGGTCAGTTAGCCCATCGTGGTAAATTCACCAGATTTTAAAATTGAAACATGATGGTTTCCAGAGGGAACCGCGTGAATGGCAACTGACATGGTACTTTTATAGCAAACGTGTCATTATTCCACATTACAAACAATTCTCTTCTCCCCAAGCATGTTTTTTATTGTGAATGGTAGTGGAATGGTGCACCCGTCTGCGCTAACGGTTTACGCTGGCGGGGTAACAATGGAGGATGAAAAGATGAGCATGAGGTCAGGTAGCCATCAGTAGCCATCGTGACAAATTCACCAGGAATTTAACATGATGATCTGTGGAAGTCAACCTGATATGGTACATTGATAGCAATAGTATCATCAATCCACATTACTAACAATCCCTTCCTCATACTCGGCATGTCAGCAGACAATTTTATTGTATAGCATTAAATCAAATTTGTACTGCATTAAGTAATCCCGCGTCTTACCCAGGGGTTCGGTTAACCAGAGGCTGGGGAGCACAGGCGATCAATTTCAAGAGCCCTCGTCTTATATTCAAATCGTTCTGTGTCTCACATTCATGCAGTCCACGAGTCACAATAAAACAAGGCTTCCGTATTACATCTATCTATAAATGAAAAATTTTCTTTTTACAGACAATATTACAACAAATACATTATTACTATCTGAATTTTGCAAGTAATTTATATAATCACTAGCTACTCGGCCCGGCTTTATCCGGGTGTACATGTATTATATATATAAACCTTCCTCTAGAATTACTCTATGTATTAAAATAATCGCGTCAAAATAGTTGCGTAGTTTTAAAGATTTAAGCATACATAGGATGGACAGACAGCGACAGCGACTTTGTTTTATACTATGTAATTATTAAGATAAGATTGTTTGTACTATCATATGTATGTATTAGTTTAATATATATTAATATATACACACATATTTATGTTTCATTTAAGTAGCCTCGGTGGTGTAACGGTTTTACACCCGTTTTACTTCCGATAGTCGGTTCCGATACTATGTAATATACACTATTATCCACGCTATGACGGGAACAGCTAGTGCATATATAAAATCTGGAAATAATGTTACAAAAATCGATTCAACAATTGCAAAAACATTTATTTAAACTTACGAATACGAGTTGAAACAGTATCAATAGATAAAAAAATTGTTATAAATCCGACTAAGTAGGTGAAGGAATTCTATAAACACTGCAGTATTTTGTTAGTTTATCTTTCACAAAGTAACACAAAAACAGTGAAATACTACCTTTTATTAGGTATAGATTTCGGTAACCGATTCACCGATTCGAGGAATTATTTCTGATTTGGCATTTCAAGTAACGAAAGTAAATCATGTAGGTAAGTAATATAGATTACTAGCTGCACCCGCGACTTCGTCCGCGTGGAATTTAACTTTATTTTTCTAAAATAAAAGTAGCCTAAGTTAATTCTTATTACATCAGCTACCTGCCAAAAAAGTCCCGTCAAAATCGGTCCAGCCATTTTAGAGATTAGCCGGAACAAATCGATCAACAGACAGACAGACAAAAATTGTAAAAAATGTTATTTTAGTGTATGTTACGTATTTATATTCATATGCATGTAGTAAAAAACGGTTATTTCAATATTACAAACAGACACTCCAATTTTATTTATACGTATAGATATATAGATAATATTTTATGTACAGCTCATGTTCATAAGTGCATTTTGTAGTACCTACGCGTGGCGGTATGAACTCATCATAAATGTAATAATTCGGTATCTAACCTTCAGGTTAGGTATACAATTGCCATTTTTCAGTACAACAACAATTAGTGACCTTAGGTTGATAAACGCAAAACTCGAAGTAGGTGCTTAATGAAGACCAATAACTTTTACGACAGATGTAGTATTTATTATTAAATGGTATAGAGATGATCTGTGGACCCCCATACATGTGGATTTAGGCTAAGAAACACTTATTGACTGGCATCTATGAAAAACATAAGATATTTTTTACATGAAAATCCCTATATAAAAGATTAATAACTATTAAATATTGGCTGTATTGAATATATTATTAGATATATTGATCATTTAATGTAAACAGATTTTATGATATAAGCTGAATAATGTGAACTACTTGTTAATGCATACTAAAGATAAGACTTATCAAAAACGATAAGCAACTCTGTTGATGATATCATTGATAGAATATTGGAAATTAAATATAAATTAAATATTACTTACAGAAACAAAGAGTATTTAACAAGTCAACAAAAAAAAACAAAACAATTATAAATCACTGGCCGTAAAGAAAACACAATAGCGCAACTAAAAAAAAATAAACTTGAAGCACAATATATAATTTGAATTTGGAATTTACCGGCGTAACTGTGAACTTTTACACTATTTTAACACATTCGACAACAATATCAAATTTTCGCGTGAAATTTGATATGTGTACCACGTTTTGTGGACCGCTCCGCTGGTCGACGTAACGTACAACACGATTACCGGTCGACAACCAACTGACGTTTCCTACAACGTTCCGTCTTCGTCCCACTCACGGCGCATGCTCAGAATTACATCCCTTCATTTCCACATCCATGCCGTTTTTATCCTTACACTATTTCCCTGCATCATCAAATATGACAAATACATCAGTCATTGTGAAAATCACAGAAAAAAGATTTCGTCTCGAAGAATTGCATTGGGGCGGGAAAGAGAGAGCGATATCGACAAGGTCGATCGTGAATGTATTGCAACATCGCCTACGGCAAAGTTAAGAATACAGGTTTTGCACCTGGTTTGTGTAGATTTGTGGATAAATAAATATTATAAAGTGCGATTAAATAAATAAATAAATAAAATATATATTTTGTATATGTTATTCTCTTATTATGGTCTGTTCGATTACTGCCACTGATTAAACTATTTCCTTTTGACAAAAATGCAATAGCATGCTGGTCACTGTATTCTCCCTAATTGAATGTGAAAATGGATCTGTACTTTTTTATCTTGTACAAGCTATTTTAAAAGAATAAGAGCTGAGTTTCTTGTCAGTACTTCTTATGTAGAAACTTCGAAAGCACTCCGAACTGATTTGACATATCATAAGTCGGTAATAGACCTTAGACATGAATAATATTATGATTTGATTTGATATAGGCATGTACAATTGTGTGTTAAAACACAAGTATAGTATGTTCCAGGTACAATCGCCACTATGGGTTAATTCATTTGACTTTATCCAGCTTTGTTGCATCGTCAGCGTCAGCATCATCTATATTACATTATCTGTCTGTCTGTCTGTGCCATTTTATAGTTACTTTTTATTGTACAGACGGATTACATTAGATAGGTATGCGTTAACCAATACTGCATTCATTTCTAGAGAATATTTCCATTTAAATAAACTGGAGCAAATAAACCGTAGGTATATGTAAATCATGATACAGAAAATGTGCATAAATAATTATATTATAACATTTTCAAATTTAAAAATCATTTATTCATCCGCTTATGAACGTCAAGTTGTTTGTAATTAAATTTTTTTCCCCACCGTCCAGTTCAGTATACAGATTCAATTGAGAAGAACGAGCAAGAAACTGAAATGAATTTCTTTGTTTTTAATACCAATTTATTTACATTGTATATGTATGTAGGTGTCTATGTCTAGCATTAAATTAAAATTCCGTGCATGAACAACTATTGCCATGCACGTTTGTCATTATGAATGCGTGAGTTTTTTGTTTATTCCATTTTCACGCCATGTAACATTTACTGGTAAAATGTTACATATATTACATGGCGCGAAATTACATATAAAAAAAATAGGAAAATATATAGAAAACGCGTGCTATACAAGCAGATCGATTTTGACCGCTTTTTAGTTTTTATTGCTAAGATTGGTACATCGTATACAATACTTTTTGTACCTAATACCTTTCTACTTTGTCAATTATTTTTTTGTCGTGCGTTCACTGCCTTATCTCACCCTTCCAAGTTTTTTTATTGACGATAATGGAATGGTGCATCCGCCTGCGCTAACGGTTTACGCTGGCGGGTCACCAGTGGGATCAGGTCGGTTAGTCCATTGTAGTACATTCACCAGGAATTTATCGCGGTTTCCAGAGGGAACCGAGTGGAGGTCAACCTGACATGGTACATTGATAGGATAATAGGATTATTTGTTCACGTTCACAATCCTCTTCACCCATCCTTCCATCTGCACTCGCCCCCAATCGTCCGGTAAAGCTGTAAAGGCCAGCTGCGGCCAACAGCATTAGAGTATTCCGAAAAAAAAAACTAATTTTTGTGGGCATATGCTAATTGCAGCGGAATTAAATAAAATAATATAAATCGTCACGTAGTTTAAGAATTATAGCAACAGACTGATTAATTTGGTATGCGAGTACTTTCACTACACTCATACATACATACTCATACATACTACATACATGTATGGGCTGAAAGCGAGCCGTGTGACAATGCACAATGGATTTAATATCTCATACGACACTTGCAACCCTACTTTCGTGCAGTACACAGAATTAGAAATTATTATACTACATGTATATTATGTTAATATTATAAAGCTGAAGTTTATTATATCCCAAATTTGAATCATCACATAGTATAAAACAAAGTCGCTCTCGCTGTCTGTCCGTCCCAATGTATACTTAAATCTTTAAAACCACGCAACGGATTTTGAGGTGTTTTTTTTTAATAGAGACAGTGATCAAGAGGTAGGTTTATATGTATAATACATTTACACCCGGGCGTAGCCGAGGCGAGTAACTAGTTTAAAAATAAATATGTATTATTGTAACATTTATTTGAAAAGAATACGAAGTGAGTTTCTTGTCAGTTCTTCTTATCTCGAAATCATTCCGAAATATCGACCTATATGAATAAAGGTATTTTGAATTTTGAAGAGTTTGTTTGTTTGAACGCGCTAATCTCAGGAACCACTGGTTCGAATTGAATACTTCTTTTTATGTTGGATAGTCCATCTGTCGAGGAAGGTTTAAGGTATATAACATTAAGCTAGGGGGCAGCTCGTAGTGTGGTTGTCGCGTCCGTAAGTCACTATGCTGACAGATGCAGGTACAGCTACGACCAATAAGAGCGGAACTGCAATGTAAAATATTGCAAAAGGTGGGGTTTTGTTTGTAAAAATCCTGGCACATTGCGGGCTTGAGAGCACACTGCTCATAATTATAGCTGATAGCCGCAGGTGGTCGGGGTTTCAGCTCGTCGCGTCTGGTATCCAGCTAAAGGAGCCGCCAGTTTTCAAAGACTTTGACGCTAGATTTAACAAGCACTCTCCACTCCGGCCGTCCGGCAGCCTGCTGCTCACACAGCGAAGGTACGTGTTGTATAGTATGTAATGATTCAACTATTAATATTAAGAGAGAAGGGTACTGTAAGTAATTATTTATATAAAAAAACATCTATTAAAAAGAGCAACACACAAGTTTCTTGCTCATTCTTGTGATGAATCTGCATTCCGAATGAGTGGTAGAATCAAAATATGACTATTCAAAAGTGCTTGTAATGAGTTTATTTGAATAAAGATTATTTCTATCTCTATTTCTATTTCTATTAATGTAGACTAATAACCCCATTGCAATCAAAGTACCATGTCAGGTTGAAACTCCACGTGGAAACTATCGAGATAAGTTTTTGGTGAATTTACCAAGATGGACTAACTGACCTGACCTCATGTTCATTTCTAAACAAATATCAATGTGATAATTATACATTTTAATACAGGTAAGAAATGGTGATGGTGATGATAGAAATGGTGATGGTGATAGAAGGTATACAAATAGATTTGTATTCTTTCATCATCATTTTTTAAAGTCAGTTTTGAGTTGTAATCCCTTTGCCATATCATATCTTAGTACAACAAGTCCAATTCAATACATACTAATCTATACATATAAATAAAATTGTAGTGTCTGTTTGTAATATTGAAATAAGCGTTTTTTACTACATGCATATGAATATAAATACGGTACATACACCTAAACAAGATTTTTTACAATTTTTGTCTGTCTTTCTGTATGTTTCTCTCTGAAATGGCTGGACCGATTTTGACCGGACTTTTTTTGACAGGTAGCTAATGTAATGAGGAGTAACTTAGGCTACTTTTATTTTAGAAATATAAAGTTAAATTCCACGCGGCCGGAGTCACGGGTACTATTCTGCTGTACTTCTTTCATAATATAATACACGACCCTCATGTACAAATATACAATTTGTATATGAGACAAGACAAACTCATTTAACTTAGTATAACGGCATACAATACAAAAGTTATTCCCTACCGCTTGTCTGTGTTCAATTCAAACACAGTTCATACATATATATATATATATATATATATATATATATATATATATATATATATATATATATATAGACAGTCCTTTGTATGGGTCAGATTTGAATTCTAAAAATATCAATGTAATAAAAAATAAAAAAATTTTATTTTAATCGTGACATAATAGAGACTGATTTGACTAATAAGGCACTACCTTACACTGATATTTTCCTGTATTATTTGGATAGTTTCAATTAATAATAATACTAATGTTATAACTCTTTATTGCGAACAGAAATAAATTAAAAAAAAAAACAATTTTATACAAATATGGAAAACAAAAAGCAGCCCTCTCGCTTAAAAATTAATATAGCCCAGGAATGCACTTGTGCTTAAATGTTTCTAGAGCAATTGTAAATATATAATTGAACGGTATATATATAATTTACCATAAATCTGACATGCTCCCATCTACTGTTTGCATTGGCTCGGCAAACATTGGCTAAAGAGCGGAAACATTATTACAACTTGACTCCTCTACCCACATAATACGATTATTACTACACTACTCGCGCTTATTAATACATTCCGCTATTCACTCGCTACAAAATAACCCAATCTAATAAAACTAAGCAATGGATAAGGTATTTATTATTTTATCACTAAATCTCGAGTTTTTAATGAATTACGTGGTACAGGGTAACAACTTCACTCCCCTACCAACCAATGTAGTATATCGTAGCAATAATTCTACAGTGAAGTACATCGTACTTTGTGTTTCAAAATTTTTAAATATTCGTATTTGGAAGCAGCAATGGATCTGTTATTAAAGTTACAGTTGAAATGTATTATTTGCAGAAGGAGTAGAGTGGTAGAGTGAGCAGTATGAGTGACTACTTGAAACAAGCTGAACTTCATCAAAAGCAAGAGTAGGGGGTATTAAGGTAAGCGAACCGTAAATATTAATGTTTATTTAGTGTTAAAATACATTTCACCCTTCTATGTGTTTGGGAGAAATTTTAAATTACTTTGCATGCCTAGTATAACACAGACTAATTTTTTTTTTATTGTGCTTCATGAGTAATATCTACCTGTAATAATGTGAACGATTAACCCCAATGCTTGCAATGTACCATGTCAGATTGACCTCCATTCGGTTCCCCCTTGAAACCATACTGATAAA